AAGATAGAGAAATAGCCTCTCCTCATGGAAGCTGACTTTTTAAAGTACAAAAAAAAAAAAGGAACATCACTGGGGGGACTGATTAGAGAAGGAGTCAGGTGGGAATAAAGAATAAAGAAATAAAAAGGCAAGCAGGCAGGAGGACCTGAGGAAAAGAAAGCCAAATGGAGACTCATAAAAGACGAGACATACAGGGACAAAAGCGCCTAATTTTCATTCTCTCTTCTGGGTGCTTGACTTCCTCAGAGGGCAAATTTTCAAGTGCAGTTAGTGGGACCATTAAGAAATATACCAGTTCCATTATTGGATGAGAGGAATGGATTTCTCCCAAGCAACAATATTGCAAACATGTTTCTTTCTATATCAAAGGAAACTATGGGTGGTGTAAAGTTTTTCTATTATTTTCCCTTTTGTTACTCTGCTTTAATCATTATAAGTATTTTGCTTTAGATCCAAGGATATAAGAACTCATGAGTGAGAGTGTTTAGAGTCAATTTTGTATTCAGAGTCTAATTTAACCACATGATGGAAACCAGCTAACAGCAAAACTGCATAAATTCCAGTTTTATTGGGTCTACCCTAGTCTATGCATAGGTGAATGGGTAACACAAAGAACAGAAAAATTGGAGTATAAATAGCTCCAGCGGGAAGCAAAGCAATTGCTCCAAAGTAAAAGGAGCAGAAGATGACATGGTTAGGTGAAAAATACTGAGCAGTGTGCTCTGCTAAAACTGGATGTGGTTAAACATAAGAATCCATCATGAAAGAATAAAGTGCACATTTTCTGAAACACATCAAATAGAACTCCACTTCCATGGAGCAATTTTCTAAAGTCTTCTATTTAGGTATATACTCATACTAAGGTCCTGAAAAGAGGTGAGAAAATCAACAGGGACAATTTAATTGCCAAAGACATACATTTTCCATTTCAAACAAGCATCTTAAAGAATACACTAAGATTTTTTGATGAAATGCTAAATATAGTAATTAGCTGCTTCTAGAACCCTTAATAAGCAACCAGAAGACATATTTCTTCAAGGTTTTTGCCATAGGACATATGCACTCAGGAGAGAGAGAGAGAAAGTGAAAAATCACCCCATCCCTCCAGAGGGGATGGACATGTCACAATCCCTTTTCCATTCTCTTCTTGGGATTCTGGCACACATGTTCACATGATGCCTGGGATCATTTTCAAGGCACTAAGTCTGGGGTCTGAACTGCAGTTGGCCATGTGGGAGTCCAGTGCCTTAACCACCATGCAACCTGCTAGCCTCTCAGCAGACACAGTTCTATAAAACTACCTTTTCCTCAAGCTAGGAATTCTCATTTTAAAAATGACATACACATAAACACATGTGAAGGGCCTTCAAAAGTTCATAAAAATGCATATTGTGAAAAGACTACACATGGATTTCAAAAATGTTTGCACCAAAATAAATTCATACTTCAGTTCCATTTTCCAGAAACGTTTTAAAATCACTGTCTCTTGCTCTCTCCACTAGGTAACATAGTTCTGGTTCAAACATCAACCCTAGGCCTTGCCCTTCCAGAAATGAGAAACTATGACAGATTTCTTTTTTATCTTTTATACCATAGACGTTTGGAGCTGGGGCACTTTCAAAAAAAAAAAAAAAAAAAAAGAACTATTTTATTTAACTTTATTTATTTATTTTTAATTTGACCAGAGAGGAACAGAGTGAGAGAGAAAGAGAAGGGGAAAGTGAGAAAGCAAGCCGGCAGGTCTGGGAACTAGAACTGTGGTTGGTCATGTGGGATTCCAGTGCCCTTAACCACCACACCACCCGGTGGCCCCCAGGTGCACCTTTAAAATTGTTTTGCAGTTAAGAAAACTGAGACCAGAGATACAAAGCTTTACTCTGGACATTAGGGCAGAAGTCCTAGGT